AATCTAGCACTGCTCATCAACTGCCTTGGCAATGAGCCCCGTTAAGTGTGCTAGTTATATATCAATTTTTTTTTTTACATTTACATTATTATTATGATCTGTTTTTGTAAATAGATCAGGAACTTACATATTAGTACTTCCAGAAAAGTCATAATCCAGACATGTCCAGTGCATGGCATATGAGGCCCTAGTCAGCTAGTAATGCAGCCCCAAAAGAATGTAAACTTTTATCACTTTTACTGATATGGCAAGCACAGACTGCGTAGGTGACAATGAAACACAGTGGAAGGGAAGGCACAGTAGGAATGAACAACACGATTGAAAGGGATGAGACAGCCCTTTGGCCTTTTGTTGTTGTTGTTGCTGTTTACATCCCATAAAGTCACAAGTCTCAAAGATACTTTTCAAAACTTCTGGACCTAGCCCTGTAAAGAACATGAGAGTCTGTGAGATAGAGCCTGACTGTGACTTCAGGATGCATTTTGATAGAGACATGGGTATCTCTGAAAGTAATGTCTACTTATTTTTCCATGCACACTACAGAAGATACAAAGAACACAATAGCTCTATTTGACAGAGCAAATTCTCAACTACAAAACACTAGTTTTCAACGTGGTGACCACCATTAGCTTGCACCTTCACCAGCATGAACAAGAGCCCATGTGCTGTACTCAAAAATCTGTAACAGGAGAGGTGATCCACTGTTGCCATTGCTGAAACACACCACCCACCACCTCACTGTGCTTACATCCACTGTTTGGTCTCCATAAATAAATGTTCAGGAAGTGTCAATAAGTGTCAGTAGGTGCCATTTTTTTCCACTTGGAGGAATCCAATGCCACACCTGTACTTCATCTGCACTTCCATGTCAGATACCATTTTGCCAGGCTGCCCTTCTTCTACCATCTGTTACAAGGCAACAAAATATAAGAAAATATTTCTGGGAAGGTTCAGCCTCCACAGCCATACCACCAATATCCTCCTCTAATATTGTGGGCCAACATAATAAAATAGGAGGCATTACTTTCAGAGCTGCATTCATATAATGCTAAGGCACTTAAAAATTTCTCTCGGTTTACATCTTTAGCAAGCCATATTTCTAAATGAAGCACCAAAACAGAATTAATGATGCTGAAGGCTGGGTGATATCAGAGTGAAGTGATCCATCAAATTAGTCTTAATTCTGATTAACAATTACAGTCTGCAGAGAAAAGCTCTAATTGCCTTCTTGATTAAGAGCTGCTGTCAAGTAGTTTCTAGTTTAAGATTGCTGTTGAAAAACTACATTGGAAAGGACTAGATTTGAATGGTAGTGGCTCTGGAGACTTCTGAGAGAATAAGAGATTAATCTTATTTTGCTAAGAATTTGATGAGCATTTCATACTTTTTTTCCCCCCCACTTCTATTCAGTCCTATTCTCCAAACTAAATACTTTGCAGATATTAGCAATTCCAGCTTTGTTGTAAAGGTCCTACCTTGTGAAATTATCAGAGTAAGATGCAATGAAATTCAAAGGAGGAAAAATGGAGATGGGTGAGGAATAGAAAGAAGACAGCGCAGCAACTACAGTGTTGCTTCTTAGATAGATAACATATAAGATATATATAAGAGGATAACATATAAGAGGATCAGAAAAAAATTGACATTTGTTATGTAGGAATTTAAGCTAACTATACTAGCAATTAGACTACACTTGGCATAATTGCAAACATTTCACCACAATATAACAAATTAATGTTAAAAGTAGCTGACAATTTTGTTTTGCCTATGTGCTAATGGGGATATTATTATGTCTCAGGGACAAAAATTACTTAAATGGCAAAAATGAGTTTTTAATGGCTACTTTGCACAAAAAAATTATAGAAATATTTTTATTTTCTCTCTAAACATGGAAACACAATGTCATTAGGGTAACTTTAAAGCACAGAAACTGCAAATACTAGCTTTAAAAAAGGTAATTTAATCTGGTCAGAAAAGAAATTAAAACATATAGAATTCCGACACTTTACAGTCAATTAAAAAAAAAAATACAGTCAAAAAAAAAAAAAGATTTGTTTTATGACAATGGTTATCTTTATTCTGTCTAAGAATTTCGTATAAGAAATAAAGAATTGTAACAGATTCAAATACCTATTCTTCATAGCTTCTGAAATAACTACTCTAAGGTATCTCTTATTGCCTGAAAATGATACCTAAGCAATGAGAGGTAAAGACATCTTCCTTTGTCAAAGGCTACGGGTGTGTGATAATATTTTGGCTGTCCAAAAAGTGAATAAAAAATCCACTAAAATAAAAAGATCATTTCCTATTGAGCTTTGAATCATATCTCCAGCAACCTTCTCTCTACAAAACAAGGAAACAAACATGCAAACAAATACAATATAAACAATTTGCAAATGAAGTTTTAGGTCAATGCCAGTCTCCCTGTTCCGCCAGGATGGCAAGCATCTGGTGAACTTTAGCCTGTGTTTCTATTTCTTCTAACATTCTCACTGAACTTTAGCCATATTTCCTGTGTGCGACTGTTAGGAGGACAAATGCTTCCTTCTCATGCTAATGCACTGTACTTAGAAAGTTATAATTAAGCCTTAAAGCTGGTATCGTTTGAAGACTTAGTATTTTTGACATGATAAAAAACTTGGGTTAAAAATACATGCAGACAGAGAAGAATCTGTTTTTAAACAAATGTCAGCAATGCCATAGGAAGTCAAATTGGTGTTGCAGATGGTGATGACTGAAGACTGTAAAAATTGCTGTGTTGGAGTTACAAAAAATAACAGTAGACACAAATAAATAGCATTAAAGTATAAAATACTTGAAAACTGAGATAAAGAAATTAGAAACAAAGGTTACACTTCAAGCTCCGAAAATATTTTCTTAGCTCAGAATTGGAAGATGATTAACACTTTTTTTTTCCAGAAAGATATAATTTTGCAATGCAGAATTTAATATGGATATTCTATCTAGACACAAGCATCCCAAAACAAACATCTGCAGGCTGCTTGTATAAATTCTTCTAGTAATTGGCATGTTGTCAGAACCATAGTAGTTCCCAACAAGAGAGCTGAAACAGGCCCAAAGCAAGTATACATCCTTTCCGTAAATACCACAGTCCTAGCCCCAGTTACTCTTTTTACCATAGGAAAAATATATATAAGAACAGAAAAAAAATGAAATGCCTCTTGAGGCTGTTTACAATTTCACTACTCTGCTTTTACATACTTAATTCCTTTCACTGACTCCAGCTGACATTTTCATAGGCAACATATATTGACGCATAGACCTTTACAGTTTCATTTTTCTTGTAGTACATAAGATTGAGAGACAAGGAAGGATCCCAATGATAAATGTTAACAGATGTGCTGCCCAGACAGGAACAGGTGCCTACATCACTCATCTACGAAAAGCCGCCACACCTCTATAAGACATCCCTGATGAGCAGAGGCTGGTACATGAAGTTGCATAGTAAGGAACATGTGCACAAATGTCAGAGATTACCTTTCAGGAAGTAAAAGCAAGTTTCTTGAGAAATGACTGATGAGTGATAATTGCAAGGTGCCAGCAGGCTCTTAAAAACCTGCTAAGAAGCTGGAGGCAGTTTACAGAGCTGTCACTGAGAGGTGAGCCTAGAATTGTCTCTTTGAAGTGGCCAAACACAAGATTTGGTTAGGACTAGATTCTGAGCTCTTATTTACTCCATCTTTTACAATGTAGCTCAGTACCAGTTTCCAGATGTTTCAGGCAGTGTTTATTTTCTCTGTTATCACCTGGGGGAAAAAAAGGTGTGCAATCAATTTCAGCACTGAACTATGAATCCTGTGTAGCTGAGATCCACTGTATGCCATGAAGTCTCAGTGGAGACTACTCTCAAGCTCTCTGTACAGTACCACCACTCTAATAGACTTATATCTGGTCCATTATTTCACTTTTGAATAAAAACTATTGGGTTTCTATGATGGGTAATAATTTTCCTAACCCTTGACTCATTTCTTCTCCTATGTAAAACCATTTTCTTCACTAAGAGCTGGCAACATGATCTAAGTCTTCCCTTGTTAGCAATTGTATTTTACGTTTGTTTGTGTTTTTTTTGTTTGTTTGTTTGTTTTAGTACTTGAAGCACACAGTTTGACACCAATTTGCTATGAATTTTAAAGACAAAAAGTAGTTCCTTAATGCAAAGCAAATTCTAAAAACTATTTATCAAAATATCCATCAATTCATTTATAGTTATTGATGGAATAAATATGTTGCAGAAAGGAGCAAATAAATTTCATCTGGTATTTTTTGATAATGTATATTATTTCCCCTTAAGCTACATACTAATGCTGTTTCTATTTATTTTTTAATAATTATCTCAGCTATATTGTGCCAAAGAGATGGACATCTAAAGTTGTTATATAATTATAATAATTTTTAAGACTGCATCCACTAGACAGTTGCACAGTATATTTCATCCTGACTAAAATTTCAGGCATCACTGTAACATAAAATTTTGACAGACTGTCATCTCTATACAGGGACTTTCAAGGTACTGTTAGTTTCGTATTGTGGACTGTATTGGAGGCTAAAGAAATCAGAACTCTTTTGATGTTAATAAGGAAAAAGTTCATCGTAGAAGTTTGCCAGAGTTGTTAATACCTGTCTCTGACCTACCACAGTGACTGATTTTTTAAAGGAAATTTGCAGTGTAATATGGCAAGTTAGGTAACTTTCCTGTGATATATGGGAGTCAATGTAGATAAAAAAAAAAAAAAAAAAAAAAAGAAGGGGAAAAAGATATAACGTATTTTTAAAGTAATGTAAAACAAAAGATAAAATTGTACGACCCTATTCTGCACTTAATCTTGTTTTAAACTACCACAGTCTGTGGGCTTGCATGGATATAGCTAAAGGAAAATTTCCCCTGTTCCCATTGCTGAGGCCTCATCTGGAGTTCCGTGTCCTCAGCAGGTCTGCACAGTTGAATAAAGGCATGAAACTTCCAGGAAGAGTCCAGCAGAGGGCCACAAAGATGAGGAGGAGCCTGGAGCATCTCCCTAATATGGAAAGATGGGGCTGTTTGTTCTGGAGAACCATAGACTCACAGAATGCCTTGAGTTGAAAGAGACTCACAAGAGTTGTTGAATCAAATGCCTGCCTCTACATAGGAACAATCAAAAATCATAGAATCATAGAATCACAAGGTTGGAAATTACCTATAAGATCATCTAGTCCAACTGTATTTCTAAGAGCATTGTTCAAACACTCCTTGAACTCTGTCAATGTAGGGCCATGCCCACTGCCCTGGTGAGCATATTTCTGTGCCCAACCATCTTCTGGTGAAGAACCTTTTCCTAACATCCAACTTGACCCTTCCCTGACCCAGCTCCCTGCCATTCCCTCTCATCCTGTTGCTGTCACCAGCAGAACTCAGCACCTGCCCCATCACTCAAGATGAGACTGGAAGAGGATGTCATCAACTTTTAGAAATACCTGAAGGATGAGTTTCAAGAGAATGGATCCAGATTTCTTTAATGTTGTCCAGAGACAGGAAAAAGGCACAAACTGGAACATGGGAAATTCCCTATAAACATGAGAAAAACTTCTTTACTTTGAGGGTGACTAAGCACTGGAGCAAGCTATCCATAGAGATTGTGGAATCTCTTTCTCTGGAGATATTCAAAACTCATATAGACTGTTTCCTGTGCAGCCTAACCTGGGGAATCTGTTTCAGCAGAGGGGAGCTGGCTAAGTGATCTCCAGAGGGTCTTTCTAAGCCTTCTGATCCCATAATGCATTGTCCTGCCAAAATACGAGCCTTTCTAAGGCATCAAGAAAGTATAACAAAAAAATGCATCTTGCAATAAAATACTTTTTGTTTTCTAGTTTATATTTGAAAGTTTTATTTTTATTTATTTATTTATTTATTTAAGTTTTTAACGATTAAAGTGTAGTATTCCACAGTGAAAAGTTGTGGTCATCTTTAACAATGACTATGGATTTGTTCAGATGGAAAAACTATTTTGTATTATTATCTTCCAGAATTCCGATTTACCCATTTTCAACTGAAACATCTAAATTCCTATTGAAAAAAGTGATATCTTGCTCCTGTATTTCAATAACCAATTTTGATACACTGAATCTTGTAGTACATTGGATCAAACTCATGAAGAGAAGTCTAAAATCCGACAAATGGCATCTGCATAGAGATAAGCATAATAGTTGTTAAAGTGGGAAAAGGAAAGCAAAAGGAAACCACAAAAGAGATGTATTAAAATAAATTATTTTCCAAAGCATCAGGATTCACTGCTGAAATCAATGTTCACAAGTTCTGCACTAAAACAGTGGAATTCTTACCAAGGCAGAGCTGAGGTTTCTTTCATGTCTTAAGAAGCCATGGCCTAGCATAAAACATGTAGAGTCCCTGAAGACACCCTTAGTGGTGAGGAGGCACTGTCAAGCATTCCATGTACTCTTTGATGAACTTTCTCTTGCAACTCTTCTTGTCAAAACTTCCTTAGAATATATCACAAATTGTTTTCACAGAAGATACCAATATAATATCAGAATATTTTCAGTGTGGTTAGTTTTTACCAGCTCTTGGATACTACTTTAATACAGGATGATTGGGTATTTCATATACATGTGTGAGTCTTTACACTCATATGCTTTTCTGTGTGTATCTCCTAATTTCCTTTTTTGTTGAGAAGTTTGTGTATTTGTGTATCGATAGAAGAGCAAAGTTCAGTTCGTCAGCAGTATTATTGCTGGAGCTGAATGAAATTCATCTGGGAAACAAACCTGAAGAGTTGCATACATCTGAGTACAAATAACATGTTGCTACAAAACTGATTAATAATCACATTTAGAAGGCTATAATTAACTGTATTTAATTTTTTTTTTTGTGCCAGTGGGAAAGGATAAAATGAATATTTATCATTCCTTCATTGAGTTAATTTGAAAAATGTGCTAACTGAATTCATATTTAATATATGGTATTTTTGCATGTTTTCACACAATTGTTTGCTTTCAGACAAGAGGCTGTTTCTTCTTTATTGTGAAGTTCAGAAAGATCATATATTACACCTGAAGATTCATCTTGAAACGCGGAAATATCTCTATATTGCCAATACCTATGAAAACCAATACTTCACATAGGGGATAGGTCAAGTGTGTTCCCATTAGCAGGTATAGTGCCTGGCATCTCCAGTTCATATTTAGAAATAAATAAGAGGCCTTGTAAATGTAATTCTAGTGAAGTATAAACAATATGCAGGCTTTACTTTAAACAGTTTATCCTTATTGGAGCCATTTAAGAGAATCTGATTTATACTACAGATCTGGCAAAACACTGAGGTGATAACTCCCCCATCCTTGTAAAAACTACATAATAAAAAACTCTGTTAAAGGAAGCACCTTTCATAAGCAAAAGTAATTTGAGAATTACAATCTGGTTTGTATTTCTCTTCCCACAACTGTAGAAGTTTCACAAACTGCACTGAATAATATCAACCCATGAACACCATTACATGTTGCTTAGCTTTGGATATACATGCAAAATCAAAATGAAAATACTAATTTTCATTTGGCTAGACATTCCAAAATGATCAAATACCTACCAAGATCCCAGAGTAGTTGACTGTGAGCGAATCTGATCTCAGTACTCACAATTGCAGCTACTACTGCTGGTGATCATGCAATTTTTAATGGGGCATGTGTTTGTTTAGTTTTGCAGAAGTATAGATTGTGTCTTCTCTGCAAGATCAACGCTGATAATTAGCTGTATTTACCTACTGAAACACAAAAGAAAGCACAACAATGACAGCACAGCCAGCAAGGTCCTAAGCTGCAACAAATGAGGACTTACTCAAATACAACAGCCACAGAAAGAAATGAAAGAATCTACTTACCTTTAGAAGGCCTCAGGTATGCAGGGATCACTGGCAAAACACCCTCACCTCCACTGCCAACCCTCAAATGAGGTCTGGGAAGGAATGAATCCTGGCTCCACCTCTTCTGGTCACTCAGGTACATTGCATGCACCTGAGCTCTCCGGGGTTGGCCCTGCCTTCCCGTCAGGTGCTTAATCACTGGTTCAAGCCATCACTTAGCATTTCCACTATACTGACACAAAGTCAGTTCTCATGGCATTAAAAAAAAAAAAAAAAAAAAAAAAAAAAAGATTATTTTTGTTGTCTTTTAATTTTAACCAGTGTAGCTCCAAAACAACTATGCAGTGTATGCTTCTCAATCATATTGTAAAATCTGTCAGAATCTGAAGTCAGACTTTTAATATCTCCCATGATTTACCAGTAAAAATGCCATGTAAAGGATGTTATTGGTGAAAGGATTCTGTAAAAGTATTCAAGGACCAGGAATAAAGCAGAGAAGTAATTTTTCCTACTGTATAGTTATGAAAATCTGACTACCTGATATAATTGTCAATTTTATTACAGCAGAATGAAGAATAGAAATCTGCGTAACAAAATTCACTCAAAGTTAATGCATTTCAGGTATACTAACAAACTTTTTTTTTTTACTTTTCTTGAATAGACTTTTGATCAAATTTATTAGCTCAGCAATCAGCAATACACAATTTCCAGGTCTGTGGATATTTGGGAAATCAATTTTAGAAGTACAAATGCAGTATTTGTGCCAGAATCCTTTCTGTATTCTGCCAGTGAGGAAGCAGGAGCAATACCACATTATATTTATGACATGACAATGGTATAAATTCCCAGAAACAGTAATTTCTTCTAATCCTGAACAAATGTGGAAAACATTGCCTATAATTTGCTGTCTCTTGGCTTTTTCATGACACTCTGATGAAAATTTTTGTAAGTCTTTCCTGATCATTTTCTACAAATTCTTGGGAAGTACTTCAACCAGGCACTTGAGCAAAGGTTTATGCATTAAGTAACAATACTGAAAATAAAACAACTCCAATAATACTAACTAAACAAAAAAATATTTTCAAGGTTAAGTGTGCAACAAATGGGGAAAAAGTCCTTCACAGAGTCACAGAGTCACAGATTCCCAGAAAAGGTAAGATTAGAAGAAACATCTGGAGATCATCTGGTCCAATAATGGCATGCAAAGCAGGAATGACTAGAAGCTGTGTTTTTTAACATCTATAGTATGGAGACTTCACAGCCTCTTTGGACAACTTGTTTCAGCACTTGAACCATCTCACCATAACTAGATTTTTCCCATATTCAGTTCGGCTTTCAATCCACCTTACAGATCAATAGACCTACGAGAGATAAACTGCCTCATCAGCTGGTATGTTTATCCCAACGTAAAATGAAAAAATCAGTGGAAACAGATTGGTTAGACATGTTTTCTCCTTCGTAAATCTATGTTGATCATTTTTCAATTACCTTCTCTTCTTTCATATATTTCAAAAGTTTTCTTGGCTTATTCCTGTTGTATATAATTTTATTTTATGCAGGTTATAATGACACGTTATTACTGGAAAATAAGAAAATACCTTTCATCACAAAAGCTATTTAGCAAAACAGCTACATAAATAAAGGATCAGAAAAAAATCTCTTTCTGTATAGAATTTTTTTCTAGATCCAATGGAAAAAAATGTTGTTTCAACAGATATTAAATACAGATGTTATATACATGCCGCATCTAATTAGATCATACAAATATACTTTTAGGAAAGATTGTACACTGCAGAGAGATGGAAATTAAGAAAGAGAGAGCCTGATTACTGAACCAGATCTTGGACTTGCAATATTTGTCACCTCCAGTTATGAGCTTTGATTATAATTTATGCTCTTTAAATGAGTGATGTACTAATTTGATTAAAATGGAATCAATTAAAATATGTTGATGTTACATAAAATGAAAAGGGCAAATAAGAAGTCAGAACATTTAAATGAGATTTTCAGAGAGTGAAATCTTACCTTTTTTCACTACATTAACCACTTCAGCAAAAGACTGCTTACAACAAATTTTGCCTCTCTGAAGAACAAACAAGTTTGTAGTTAAGATGAATACTGTATATTTTCCCCTAGCAAAGTCTGTTTGTTTTGTGAAATTGATAAATCCCTTTGGCAAAATGTAGAAGATAATTGGATGGTGAAAACTTTGGCACTTGTGATGGCATGCAGTTTTTAAATAATTGTGGACACCATTTTGTTAAAACTGTATTGCTCTTTACCTATGTAATTCTGTTGTACTTATTAGATAAGTGACAGTTTTGTCAAAATTATCACTGTGTTTGGCAACTCTGAGTCCAAAATATTGGACTTGAGAGATACCCAAATATTTAGATCTGCAGATGGTACTGTTGCAATTTCATTCTAGTTAAAGAAAAAGATTTTACAGTAAAGCAATATGCATTATGCATGTGTAACATCTGTCTATTTAATGTCCTTTAGAGCATTTAGGAAAGGCACTCCAAACCAGAAATGACTAGATAGTCCTAATCACCCTGATGTATATCCTTGCTGAATTTCATTATCATTTTTATCAATTTAGGATTTTAGTTTCATCAACGTATTGTTAATAAATTAAATATGTACATTAAAACAAACTAAAGTTTCAGTGATAGGATCTGACAGTTAAAATTTGAAATTATTTTCAAAAGAAAATAGGTTGACCAGAGCTAAATACACAAATGACATTTTGCTGTTTACACTACATATGAACCCATATCAAAAAATTAAACTCTTGATATTTAAACCTGCAAAATTAGATTGTCTTTATAGCAGTATCATTAATGAGATCTTAAGAATTTAAAATTAATACTGCAAACAATTTATGACACAGAACTTTGGCAAGGAAAAATTCAGATGTTTTTCTCACGTCAGACTATCCATTCCTTTGCTATAGTGCAGTTACCAGTGAAGTTAAACCAGCCTCTGGTTCACATCCTGGGCAGGTTAAGAGGTCTTCAGACTTCATTTACCACTAAGATTTTAGACCATCATAAGTCTAAAACATGACTTTATGTTGACATTTTAATGGTCAAAATAAGCAAAGAGTTAACTTACTTTAAACTTCTAAACCTCTGACCCTGGCCACAAAACTGAATTTCAGCATGAATTTTTCTAATGTGTCTTTGACTGTGCACATGTGGCAATGTCTAAAACAGCTGCCCATATTTACTTTATAAGCCTTTCAAAATATTTTCCTTATCTTTTTATTTTGCACAGCCTCTGTGAATCATGGAAGGTAAGCAAAGGGATTCTCTCTTTCTTACCTTTTATTTGGCTAAGTCAACCTTAAAAATCACATTATAGATCATCTGTGGGGAAGGAAATCTTACACAAGTTAAACATTCAACTTCTGTCAGGAAAAGGTCTTGGGGCATTTATTTTTTTTTAATTAATGTGTCAGACACAAAAATGTTCACTATACACCAGTTCTTGCCAACAGCAAGTCAAATAATTAAATCACTGTATTCATGAGACAGAAATATCATCCCTTCCCATTACACAGAGACCCTTCACCTTCTAGCCTTGTAAACTCTTTGACTGGCTTTTTTCCAGTAAAAGTGCACTAGTTTCTTCATTTCAACATATACAGATAAAAGAAACACTGCAGTGTACGTAAAACACTGTCAATATCAAAGAAGTTAAGATTTTGACTGTTGAAAAGATAGCAGTTCAAATTTCAAGTGATAAACAAAATCATTATCTTTATATTTACTTTTCAGTAAGCTTGTTTCTTTGTTTGAAGAAAAAATTTGCTTTGTTTGTAATGTTTTTTATTTATTGAAAGGATTGCAATATATTCATAATATATATTATATGTTATTCAATATATATTCATATTATATTACATTATATTACACATTATATTACATTATTCAATATATTCATATTATATATCATAATTGCAAATATGACATTGCATATTTTTAATATGCACTGATAAAAGGGAAAGGTAAAAGGCTGTTGAGTACTATCAGGACCTAGGAAGCTAGTATAAAAGGAAGAAAAATTGGAAATCAGTGATCAGTATTTTGCATTCTATGTCAGTCAGAAAAAAATACAGAAAATATAATAGGAAATAGCACATGATTTGTTTCAGCCAATTGCTGCATAGAAATCAAATATATACATCTGAAACGGAACTACGCAGATCACTCTGAAAGTAATACTGCCTTATTTAATTCCATGGAAACTACAGTGGATACAAAGAGCTCAGTAACACTATTTGATAGAGCAAATATCAGCTATGAAAAAGCATTTCCAGCAGTCACTACCACTAGCTTTGCATTTTTGCCAGCAATGAGCAAGAAATTGCATGCCATGCTTGTAAAAATCTGCACCAGCAGAGGCAACACACTGTTACACAGCTGTTACGATGGCGTCATTGCTGAAACACCTCACTGTGCTCATATCCACTGTTTGTTCTCTGTAAACATTCAGCAAGTGTCAGTGAATGTCAATGAGTACAATTTTTCCTGCATGGAGGAATTCTGTGAAGCATCTTTGCTGTCAAACTTCCCCTCTGCTGCCATCCATCACACAGCAACAAGATGTAATGCAATATTGGTGGGAGGATTCAATGTCAACTACCATATCATGAATATCCAGCTCTGAAGTCATGGATGAACAGAATAAAATAGGAGGTATTACTTTCAGAACCTTGTATTAGTAATAGGCACTATCATACTTAAACAGATCATTAAGTGATTATATGTTTCTCTAAATTTTTAGGGAAAAGCTTGTGCTTTTTATGAATTTAAAACATAATTTGTTAATAATATCCAAAATGAAAACACGTTAAAAAAAAAAAAAAAAGACATTGACAAAATAATTATGCATGGATTTTATACTTAACTCAGAGTGACTTGCAAATTTATCTGAAGCTGCTAATTTATCAGTATATTCATTCTAGAGCAGGATGAATATTGTCCTGTTTCAATCGAGGCCTTCTAATCACTCCAAATATTGCTCTGTAGAAAAATAATGTCACAGACTCAAAGAA